TTTATAAATTTCCCTATATATATATATATATATATATATATATATATATAGGGTTGAGTTCACGTGAGACCAATGGTTTTTCGTGAGACCCGTGAGACCAATTTATATTCATTGATCAACTTTATAAGCTAATGATCTAATGGTCTAAAGTTGCACGATGACAATTTTGTAATTATTAAGAAATCTCGTGGCAATTTTGTGATTAAGAATGTTGAGATTGTAGATCTAATCCAATGGTTGAGAATTGGTCTTACGGGTCTCACGAAAAAGGCTTGGTCTCATATGATCCTAAGTCTATATATATATATATATATATAATCACAACAAAACTTCCATATCCTGAATCAAGAACCATTCTCTGATCAAATGGCATCTAAAGATTCTAAGTTGAAGAACATCAGTGTTGTTTCTGATCATGACACCAGTAGCGGTGACGACGATAAAAAAGAAACCAGAGTCGATATCTCCTTCGATAAGCTAAATCTCGGTCGTAAAAAGAAACTCCTTGTGATTCCACTCGCTGGAATACTCGTTCACCGAGCCTATCGTTTTAAGCCGACCACCATTCCCACACACCGCTCTCCGGATTTCTCTTACGGAAAATTTCTGGGTGAGTAAAAAGTTGGCATCTTTTTCATTTGTTTCTTTCAGCAATGCCAATATTTGGTACCAAAATCACCCAGAATTTGGTCACTAATTGTAACCTGTGGATGTATATTTGTACAGTTTACAAGAGGCCTTTTTGTGAAGGGTTTCTGAAGTTTTGCTTTGAAAGATTCCAAGTGGGACTGTGGTCTTCTGCTTTGGAGTTAGTGTTCTTTATATATATCTGGATTCATACGAGAATCGTATCTAAATAAGAAAACGATCAAATCATATGTGATTTTGCATGTAATTTGGATATTTTCTTATTTAGATACCATTCTCGTATGAACCTACTTCTCTCTCTATACATATTTACTGATTTCCATACATATATATATATATATGTATGTATATATGTGTGTGTATGTGTGTTTATCAGGCATAACATAGAAGTGGTTTTGAACAAAGTTATGGGAGAACTAAAAAGCAAGTTATTGTTCACTTGGGTGAGTAATTCAGACAACTTTTTTTTTGATTAATTTGGGTCTAGAAATTGCTGTAGATGTTTTATATTGTTGTTTATGTTTTGTTAGGATCAAAAGGAATGCACACATACTGGATTCGTGTGTCTGGATAACCCAAACAAGCCATTGTTCTTGAAAGAACTCAAGTATCTATGGCAGAAAAAGTACTCGAATCTTCCATGGCGACATGGAGAATATTCATCGTCTAACACACTACTGATAACGACTCCCATGAAGGCCCTTCTAAATCCTGTAATTACGTTATATGAATGTATCATACAAGAAAGCGGTCAACTTACAGGAAAGAAGCAAATCACATGTGATACAACACGTCTAGAAATGACGTGTATGGTCAACTCAACCATGGTCTAAATTCACATGTGATTTTACTCTAAATTCACATGTGAATACTTTGGCGTGTCTTGTAAGTTGACCGTGTTTTTGTTTTAACCTCTATCTGTTTTTGTGTTGGTGATGTTTTATGTTGGATGGAGTTTTGTTACAGCCCAACACTTCGATTTCGATCGATGATTATGATCCTAACAACAAAGAGGATGATTTCTTAGGTATATTGATACATCAAGGGTGCAATTACTTTTATGGGTACTTATTGATTTAAAAAAGAATTTGTAACGTACTTTTTTTATTAGGTCCTGATGGTGCGTTACGAGCGTTCTTAGATGGACTTGTTGAAGCAGAGGACGTGCCAACTTATGTGCGAAATCATCCGTTCGGGGAGCCTGCGATAACACCTTCACATTCTGATTGGGACTACTACAATACCGTTATTCGTTCTATGGGCAAGAAAAAAACTACAGATCGCAAGAATTGATCCGTTTCGTTGGAGATTTAATGGTCTATTTTCTGATTTATGTCCTTTTGTTATGTCCTGAAATATTGTCATGAATTTTATATAAAGTAGAACTCGTACTGATTTTTAAGCCAACCTGCTAGTGGGACGTCATGAAATATAATTTGAAATACAACGTTGTAAGAAAATAAGATAATAAAAGCAAGCGGTCTAATTTTCATTTTGCAATTCTTTTTGAAGAAAATTACACGACAAAGTGTTCAGCGGTAAAAAATTAGAAAGCCCAAAATTCTAGAATCCAACAGAGACAAATAAGGGTGATTATGGGTTGGGTTGAAAACGTTTGAACAATCTAACCTAACGCTTGCGGTTTGAAAGATCTCAACCCAATTCAACCCCAAATCAAAGCGCAATTCAAACCGTATGGGTTGGTCGGGTTTATACTTTGATACATTAAAATATTATCATAACCTTGAATATGTTGTTCTCTCTAGTCTACTTATAGTATCTTTTTCATCATCAACAATTTGATACAACTTATACATAGTACTTAAATCTTAAATATATTACATTCAATTAATTTTCTCAATTTTCATATATATATATATATATATATATGAAAATATATACAAACGAGTTATATAAGAATAAATTGATAAAATAAATTTATATGAAGAGGATGCGTGATGATAGAGACTCAACAATCATATTAAGTTTAAGAAATAAAAGAATATCAGATTCATCGGATTAGATTGAGTTTAAATAAAAATAACCTAATATCAACTCAATGCCTCTAATTTGAAAATTTTACAACTCGATTAGACATTAAATTAAGTTATTTGGCATTGGGTTGGTCGAGTTTTTAAGCACCCCTAATGACGACAAACGTATATGTCATTGTGTATCACAATTTGTTTGTGTGGGTCGGAATATACAACATTGAGGACAATAAAACAGAAATAGTGTTGAAAGGGAAGGCGTTGATTTTAGCAAAACGACAAAATGGAAAACAACAAGCAAAGACCAACTTATTTTAAAATACTAAATTTATGTGGGAATTAAATGAAATAAAATGGAATAAAAAGGAGACAAGAATGTAGGTTGAGTGGTGTATACAATATAAGATGCCAAAGTATATGTCACAAGAATGTCGAACTCGACAAATGTAGAAACCTATGACCAGTTGTGGATCCATTCCGAGCTTCCACATCTATATATATATATAGAGAGAGAGAAAGTTTGTTTTAAATGCAACTCATCGTATTTGTATAAACAATGCAACATAATAAATTAAAATTTATGAAAATGATGAGAGTTCATTTATTATGATTTAAATATTTATGGAAGATGAATAAGATTCATTAATTATGATCAATACTTTATATTATGAAACAATCAAAACTTTTATGAAATTACATATTCATCAAATTAAATGGACGATTGAGATTGAGTTGTATTGGTTGTACAAATGTAAGAGATTGTATAATAACCCATATCTCTCTCTCTATATATATTTAATAAAATAAAAACTTTTTTTTAATTAATGATTGAAAATTTTAGTTATAATTGGTATTTCAAATATAAATTAAATATATCTAATCATATATTAATATTACAAGATTATCAACTGCTCTTGAATTTGCATAAGTTGATTAATGCGAACGAGTTCTTTTTAAAAATGTGTGTATATATATATATATATATATATAAAGTATTTAATAAAAACACTTAAAAATCATCTTTTATACTTGAAGTACTGTTATTGATGTATATTACTTAAAATTCAAGATTAGAATTAAATTGTGTAAGTACAACTTATTAAGCTTCATGTTTGAATTCGTGTAACTAACTGTAGATAAATATAATCAAATACATGATAGAATTCTTATTTTAAATATAAAATCTACAATATAATTAGGATAATTATTGAGTTATAACATAATACTTAGTTATTATTTTTATAAAAATTATATTATTAAACTAAAAATAAATTATTTCGTCGTTAAACCTTAATTAAATTATAATAAAAGAATTGAATTAAAGAAATTACACAAGAAAATGAGAACTTTTAAATTTTTTATGATATCTTCAATTTTATATTATATTAAGAAAAACATTATTGTTTACTCAAAACCACATAAATTCGTATTTTAAAATCGACAGAGACCAAAAAAAATAAAATGAAACATTATAATCAAGATATATCTCAGTCTATTACACGAGTACCGTTCTAGTATATATGTATGTATGTATGTATATATATATATCTATATATATATAGAGAGAGAGAGAGAGAGGTTCTACGGAGATTTTCGACTTAAATTTATATCTGCGTCGCAGGGAAAGTTAGAACAAAAGTATGTGAGTAAGACGAAAACTGTTACCTCATAAGTGGTCATCATCACGAGATTCTGAAGTAAAAACTCAACATCCAATCAACACTAAAAATCTTCTCATTTATCGATAGTTGACCGAAGACCAATGATCAATAAGAGACACAACGACACAGTTTTCTTATTTTTAAAGTATTTATAAAATCGCATCTCAATACAACCTTCAGATTTACCTATGGATAGAACAAAAAGCTTAAAGATAAATTTTACTTATTATACTTTTACACCAAAGAGTCTGGTATAGCGGTACGTGAGTCTTTAACATTGTAGTATGTCAATGATTCAAACCTCATAAAAGGTGAGGAAGATGTGTGAGTTTATTTGTTCTATTTATCGTATATAAATACTATAGTCGGTTGGTAGTACCATGCAACTTATGCAAGTTTGGTTGATACACGATATTGGAAGTCATGGATATCAAGTTATTAAGTTAGATTGTATTTTTATATATATTGGATATTACACTTTGTAATTTTAACGGTTTTATTTGAACATCTGAATATTTGCAAAGTTATTCTTTGCAATTAATAACACCTAAACACCATATGTATTACTAGAAACTCAAAATATCACTCAAATATATGAACAAAATGCAAGTTTTCATAAATGTAACTTGAAGTTGGTACACAACCAGTACTAACATGTACCAACCCAAAAAAAATTGGAATCACTTAAGTTTGTATCAATATATTTAGTTGGTAGACGATATAAGATTTTATATATCAATTATAATTGGTTGGTACATGATATTGAGGGAAAAAAAAAACTTGATATTGTACCAACTCCAATCTTGTAAAAACTATCAGATCAAAATCAACCCAGTAAAATAAATTATTTATCATTTAAAATTGAGGCGAATGATCGTGTGAGAAAGAAAATTAAGATGAGAAATGTAAGAAGAGATTTGGACCTTTGATCACATTTAATTTCAAATCCATAATACATCTCATTTTAATATGTATTCAAAAATAAAGATATCTTCTTACACTTCTCACCTTAACTTTTATTATCATTAAAACTCAGCAGCTCTGGATGAATTATTAAATATAAAATTAATACCAAATCAGTTATACTTCGATTCACCTACAATCATTACCATTTAATATCTCATTGATGTTGAATTTAAGGGGAACCTTCTTTATGCACGTTGAAAGTCATAATTACTTATTAATACGATGTCGTTTCCTAATTCCCTAAAGATCCGCAAAACAGATCGGTCCCTCGGATACGCCGACTATCGACGCATTTATTACGAGTCCTCTCGACTCACACACAACAAAAACCCATCCCACCTGTCTCTTTATGCTTCTTCTTCGCCGGTTATTGCTGCTACTAACACTTCTCCATTTCTGCTTCTGGATTCTTTGTGAGTTTTCTTGCTTGAAAACCTTATAATTTTACGCATTTTCAACTGAAATCATGTGATTTATTGCGAAATTTCACGTAAGTGTTGATAAAAGAAATGATTTGATGATCGATTGCTAAGTTTCTGCTACTTCAAATCAAGAATTAGATCAATGTCTGTTGATACCCACGTTTTTATGATTTGTTTCGAGAGTTATGAAGTTCGATTCTTGATTTTTTTGACGAGCAAATGTGTTTAGCTTTTTCAATTTCAAAATTGATGAAGATTTTAATTTGGTTAATTCAAGAAACAGGGGTTTATAATGGAAGGTATGTTTAGGGGAAAATCTTGAAATACTAAATTTTAAAATTTGAATTCAGAAAGTTCTAGGTTTAGATCTTCGAAATCATCTTGTTTTGAGGGAAGGGATAATCCTTTTCTATGAAAACCCTTAGAAATGACACATAATCTTGAAGGTTATTGATTAGTTGAAATTAGGGTTTACTTCTTTTTGTTGGAAGATATGGATTATGTTTAATGATGCCCTAATCTCAAAATTAGTTAGAAAAGCTGAATGAATCTAATGTAATTGGAAAGGGGTATTGAGATTTGTTGATTTTCTGGTTGTTAATACTTGATAGCATCTAATGAATTGATTCTTAGTTACATATCTTGGCTAATTTATGGCATCTATTGTTTCTAAAGCAGGATTATTGATATAAACCAAGGTTTTTGTTTAAGTTTATCAGCATAAACTGGTTAATTTGAAGAATGGGGATTGAGACGGTTAAAGGGTCATCGTGGTTCGGTAGTATTTGGAGGTCATCTTCGCGTAAAACCACAGTTTTGGAGCCTGAAAACCCCGTTATTGGGATTATGTCGTTCGAAGTCTCTAGGTTGATGACAAAGTTAGTTAATTTATGGCAGTTTCTAAGCGATAAACAGATGTCACGATTAAGAGAAGAACTAGCTAACTCACTTGGCACTCGAAAGCTTGTTTCAGATGATTTTGATGATCTCATGGATCTTGCGTTAATTGAGATCGTTGATAACATCAAGTCTGTGGCACGAGAAGTGGCTAGGCTCGGGAAAAGGTGCATAGATCCCGTATATAATAATCTTGACCACATTTTCGACAATCTAGAAATTGATCTTAACTGGTGTGGATGGGAGTATAGATTGAAGAAGATGGAGAAAAGGGTTAAAAAGATGAAAAGATTTGCTGCAGTTACTTCACAGTTGTATGAAGAACTGGAGATATTATCTGAGCTTGAGAATGGTTTAAGTCGAATTCAAGAAAATAATGTGAATCAAGAGAAATTGCAAGAGTTTCAGAAGAAAGTTATGTGGCAACGAGAAGAGGTTGACGGTCTGCGTGAGATGTCTGTTTGGGTCAGAACTTATGACTACATTATTAGACTACTGCTTAGATCGCTTTTCACAATAGTCGAGCGAGTGAAGGTTGTTTTTGGAATAACAAACCAAATGGGATCTCCTGGTGTAAGTAATGTCCCGGATGGTAGCTGTTTTTTGCGCAGTAATTCTGTTTCTGCCCTTGTACGAGCTTCAGTCCATCCCTCTGAATGTTCTATTCAGAGGTCGGTTTCGAATCTTGGCGATAAAATCACGAAGAAACCACAAATTCGAAACTACCCACCATTGAAAGCAAGAAGCTTTTCTCATATTGGACCTCTGAAAAGCTGTATGATGTCTGAACTCGATTCTCCCGTCTACTTTTTACAGCAAAAAGCTATCTTTTTGAAGAAAAGATTGTTGAATGTTGAAAAACCGACACTTGGGGATGCTGCTTTAGCGCTCCATTACGCAAATGTGATCATATTTATCGAAAGATTAGCTATTTCGCCTCACTTCATTAATCCAGAAGCAAGAGAAGATCTGTATCATATGTTAACCACAAGAATCAAGAACTCACTTAGATCAAAACTGAGCCTTTTCCCAAAACCCGATGCTTTTAATTGCGATCTTGCATCCGATTGGAGTTCATCAGTGCAAAAGATACTCGATTGGTTGGCGCCATTGGCCCATAACACGATAAAATGGCATTCTGAGAGAAATTTCGAGAAGCAACGGATGGATTGTGGAGGAAATGTGCTTCTGGTGAATACTTTACAGTATGCAGATCAAGAAAAGAGTGAAGATGCGATCACGGAGGTGGTTATGGGTCTTCATTATATTTCGAGATTTGGTCGAGAAATTAACGATAAAGCTTTCATGGGGTCGGGTTGTGGCAAGGATTGTGACGATTATTTGGTCCATAAGAGTAAGATAGCTTCGATCTCGTTATAAAGGGTTTGTTTGGTTGTTTTTCCATTCTATTTAGATGGATAACATAGATTTTATTTCAAGATGCATAAATGGATAACGACAGGTCTCGTGTATATGTTCAGCGTAAACCACGTTGCAAGATGGTTGTGGTTCGTTTAAAACATCAACGTTGTCATGGCACATTCGATCGTCCGTATATTAATTTTTACTGTAATTGTTAAAGCTGACGTGGCAGTTTAATAAATTGATGGTCTAATAGACATCAAATATTCTAACAACTCAACGTAGAACTTCTTTGAAGCTTTTTTTGTAAAAGGGGGGACTCACAAGCAAAAATGCAAGTTTTTCAGAGCTTGGTTTTTTCACAAGTTTTAAGTGATCATAAAAGCCTTTGTTCTATTTGAGTTTAGGGTTTAGGATTTAGGGTGCGTTTGGTACGCAGACAGGACAGGACAGGACAGGACGGGACGGGACGGGACAGGACAGGACAGGACAGCTGTTCAGCGTTTGGTAAGACATGATATGACAGGACAGGACTGGTTAAAATGACCAATTTACCCCCAGTGAGCTGTTTAGTGTTTTTTTTTCACTTGAAGGGTTTTCAGAACTGACAGTAAAGCTTAGCTCCATATTCTTATTGCATATTCTTGTCTAATTAGTTCTTACTATCAAAAAACCAAAAACAAAGTTCCATTTACACAGGAGCCTAAAATCGACCAAAAACAGGAGCCTAAAATCGACCAAAATCGATTAACATAACAATAGCCAAAACATCGACCAAAATCGATTCAGAAAACAATAGCCTAAACATCGATGGGTATAGATTCAGAAAACATTAGTTGGGACAGTAATTCCTTCTACAATAGCATAAATCGATGGGTATAGGTTTCAAGGTTCAAGTTTATAGAAATGGGTTTCAAGTTTTAACTTTCTGGAATTGGTTTTCATGATTAATATTCTACAAATTGGTTTTCATGATTAAAGTTTCTGGAATCGATGGGTATAGTGTTAACAAGGAGAAGAAATCGATGGGTATAGTGTTAACAAGGAGAAGAAATCGATGGGTATAGTGTTAACAAGGAGAAGAAATCGATGGGTATGAGAAATCAATTTCAGAAATTACCTCATAGGGGATAGTGGTCGCCGTCGATGTTCCTGGTCGCCGTCGTGGTCCTGGTCGCCGTCGATGGTCCTGGTCGCCGTCGATGGTCTGGTCGCCGTCGTGGTCCTGGTCGCCGTCGATGGTCCTGGTCGCCGTCGATGGTCTGGTCGCCGTCGTGGTCCTGGTCGCCGTCGATGGTCTGGTCGCCGTCGATGGTCTGCTCGCTGTCGATGAGGAAGCAATGGAGGAGGAGCGATGGAGGCTGTCTTATGTTTTGTGAAGAAGCCGGGTGAAAGGGAAAAGGGTATTGAGGGAAATAAGTTTGAGTTCCACTTAGTTCCAGGGTATTAGGTAGAACTCGCGTGTCCCATTCTTATTCTACTTAGTTCCACTTAGAAACACACCAAACATGGGACAAATGTGTCCTGTTCTGTCCTGTCCCACCCTGTTCCACATACCAAACACACCCTTAAGGTTGAGAGAGTGTAAATGAACAAAACTACCCATTTTAACGGGATCATTTTGATTGACGGTGTTATTAGTAAGGTATGAGGAATCATATATGTGATAAAAAAAATAGGGATGTCTTTTGGTAAAAATCATTTTTTAAGGGACCATACTTGTCAATTTATGTAAACTATAAGGACCAAATTTGCATTGAACTCTTAAAAAAATAAATTAACTGCCAATTACCCGGTGAATACTTATTAGAAAGAATTACTTTTATTTAACTTATCGAGTAAGATTTTAATTTATTAAAAAATTTTATCCGATAAACAATAATCAAATAAGAGTCGTTATTCTCATTTACTGGTAAGACTCTTAGTCCTTGTTGTTATCGGATAAGATTTTTAATCTCCCATTCATCCAATAAGATAAAGTGATTATTGGATAAGCATTTAACAGACTCTTTAACCAAAACGAAAAAATAAAAATGCGTGTTGGGGAAGAATTAAAGAGCTTTTGCCAAACAACACTTGCCTCTGAAGGAATCAGAGGTTTGCCTCTGAATGGAGCAGGTAAACAAACACCCCCTTCGACTTCAGTGGCAGAAGCGTTGAACTCGAAAAACAATTCGGAAATGGGGGCGACTAAAGGCGGTGAACTGGTTTACATGATCTACAAAGCTGTGACGCATGGTCTAACACCGCTGATAAATCTTCATATCCGGTGGCGCAAGTTCCGAGGTCTGGAACATCCTCTCCGGTGGCCGGAACGTCTCGGTCGACCGTCTATCTCTCGGCCTCCTGGCCCTCTTATCTGGTTCCACGCCGTTTCCTTAGGTTTTACTAATTCTCTCTCAAAAATCTTCTTAATTGCTGTATGTATGATTATTATATGCGTATCAAGCGAAATTTTGTGTATAGTTGTTAGGATTTTGATATTTGTATGTTTTATCGTTATTCTTCTTGTAAGTTTATTAAGATTATGCGAGTGGCGAACAGGTGAAGGAATGTGTGTGGTTCCTGTCATTAAACGCTGTGTTGAACGAAGATCGGATGTAACTGTTTTGATGACGACAACTACAACATCTGCATTGTAAGATTAATCGTATGTTATTTGTTTATCAATTTCGTTCTTTAAAAGTAATAGAATCCGAGGACATTATTCTGGTAGTCAACCATAGATGTTTATGGGAGAGGCCTGCTTGAATTCGAGTTTGACCTTTTATTAGCTTAGATACTCATTCAGTATACTCATCTTTTGATATCTTCTCAAGCAACATGCTAATTCACATTCAGTATACGAATCTTTTGATGTCTTCTCAAGCAACATCCAACATGCTAACAAGGTTTCTCAATTTAACATTCTCTTGTAAACCACCCATTGATTTAATCCTCCTTGAATATTAGACCGAGAGTAGGAGATTGACATCCTTTCAATGCTGTCTAAGAGGACTATTCAATCTTGCTGGCTAGCTCTATTGGGTTGGTGCTGGGTTAGCCCTTCACCTCCTCTTCTCTTTCTGGGCTTGGTTCTGTCGTCTAGAAAAGTAACATGTACATATCTTTCTTTAAATGGTGATAGTAAGATGGAACCACCTTGGCAATTAGTTAACATTGAACTGAAACTTATAAAAATAGTTCACTTTCTGGTGCTAGGAGAAAACCCTATTGAATTTAAAAACATCATACTAGCATGCTTTACTAAAACAATGTGGATAGTACTTGTAGAAATTACGAGGTAAAGGGAGGACTTCTATTGCTGATTTCTCCATGAACGGTGTTTTCAGGTAGTTATTATTTGAGCTACAACTGCTAAGAATGATGTCCTTATTAGTTTTACTTTTGATTCGGCTGATATCTACTTGAGTATGTTTTTAAGTTGGCATGTGATCGAGTATTTAGTTGTTTTGTCCAGCTTCATGAACAAAATATTCTATTTATAGGCTAGACTATTTCAGTTATCAATTGATTAGAGTGTAATAAAACAAATACAACCATCCTTTTGGTGAGATGGGAAAGATCTTGTGTTTGGAGCCTAAGAGGTCCTAGGTCTTGAGAATGATTTGTTAACTCCTCTTGCTATTTTCCCAAATTCTTGACCTAAAATTTTTCTGGATCAATATGCCACACAAATAAATCAGGATGTGTGGGCAAGAAATAACCACTTATGTTATGTTATCGTATGGAGCAAGCAACCTTTTCTTGATGTTTTTACCAGATATTAATACAGAAATATCATAACACAGCCGGGAGTGGTTTTAAGCATGTGTCCACATTCTAATCTCTAGTTAGCAAACATTCTGGAACCACTATGTTAATGTATGGATTAAGATCATGGTTAAGATTCATGCTGTCTTCATTTCTAGATGGACTTGGTGCTGAAGCTTGAGTGTCCTATACTTGCCCCATTTTGAGTTCCCTATCTCATTTTTTCAAGTATAAAGACATTCTTAGCGGTTAAAAAGTTTGGACTACTGAGAGGTATTGATCGTTGAGTGTAAATGTATATAGTTGTTTCACAAAGATGACCCTCTCTCCTTCCATTTTTTACTTATCATTCCCTGCTGGGCTGCTCTAGTTTACTTGTTTCCACTTCTCATTGTACATCAAGAAATGATATCTTTCTCTTGTTGCTACAGTGAAGTACTAAAGACTTTGCTTCCCTGTGGTGTTATATATCAGGTATATGTTCTTGTATCTCAGTACAAGTTCCATTTGCAAATTTTTTATATAAAATTAGTTGCATTCATGATTATTGAATGCTATTAGCCTATTACAGCCTGCAGTTTGAAGACATTTGACGGTGTCTTTTGTAGTGTTTTAGTAGTTGTATTTTATGCAACTTCCATTTCCTGTTCTAACTTCCAACTTTAGGGGATTGGTACAAACTATTTACAAGTTAGTTTGTGGGTGTTAGTTGTTAGTGTCCTCTTGTGGTCCCCAGCAGTTGGGTTATAATAGTTTGTCTGTGTATATATACTTCAAGGAGCAGTGAAATCATTTCAACCTTTTCTTAATGCCTCTCTCTGACCGTCAATTTATGTTTCCATGGCTGAAAATTTGAGTTGTAGCCTAAACCACACCACTTTTGGCAAGAAAGGGGAAGTTCCAATCAGTTTTCACCTTCTTCATTTTTACCTTCATGCTAATGATCGGTCTGTATGCTTATCTCATGGAAATTCATTAGTACAGAAATTACAACACCTGGCCTCAACAATGCAGATTGTACTATGCTAAAACAGCTTTTGTTCAAGTCACATTTACCAAAAACTGTACGAAATCAGCCTGATGTGTACACTAACCAGTTATCTGGGGATTAAATGTGGCTTGAAGCTGGACATGATGTCAACATGATATGCACTCAAGCAGCATGTTTGACCAAATGATAGCGGCATCTTAAAGGCCTTAGAGCAAAGTATGTTTCACTACAGAAGTTAGAACCGAACCAGATATGAACTGAAATCGCATCAGTATAATAAGAACCAGACTGCTATACAGTGACTGCCTTGAGGTACAAATCGAAGCAGCTCTTGACTGCTCGACCTATGGGCCTCTCGAGGTTTGCTTACACAATACACTTCGCGGACCACAAAAATTTCCTATAGTGCTGTTTGTATTGCAACTTTCAGATGAAATTTAAGTCCAAAATTGTGACTCAGATGATATGATGACCTCACAAAATCATGACTGGACTGGACCAGATCACATATTAAATCACGATATAAATCCATTTGCTGTGTCATATATTCGGGTTATGTAGTTTGTTGCTTGACTATTTACAGTTGTGAACTGATGAACTGGTAACGTCTAGGGTTTTTTCTCTGGAGACGAGTGGCTGCTGTTTCTTTTCTTTTTTTTCTCGGTGAGTAGGTGTTGAGTACTTGAATACGGTTTCATGGTGGCAATAGAATTAGGTTTTGAATTAAAGTGAGGTGGCTCTAATACCAGGAAACAATGATGAATCTTTGGGAAAAAGAAATCTTAGGTTAGACGTATTGTTCCCACATGTATAGGGTACATCATGCAAAAGGCATAATCATGAAAGAGATGAAGATAAACAACATAAGTTAAACCTGATAAGTAGATATCGGATCCAATGTTCCTATATCTTAGCAATGAGCCCAAGTAATTACCATGCGGCTGAAATGAAGTGTTATGGCTTCTTGGCAGGATTCTTTAGCCAGTCATTGCATGTCACATGTGAAAGTATGGAAGATATGCTGATACATTGTTATCTTTTCAACTATTTCAGTTTGCTCCAGTTGATACACCTGCTGCTGTAAATGCTTTTCTAGGATATTGGAAGCCATATGCTCTTGTGCTAGTTGAGAGTGAACTATGGCCAAATCTTGTTCTTGGCGCCTCAGCAAATGGTGTAAGTATAATACCTTTTTGATTTAATGCAATCGAGTGACGATGTCAGCAGGTAAAAAATGACATTTGTCGAATTAGAAAATAGGTATAGTAGGTTGATCATTTTGGTAATTGACATCAATATCTGCTATCCATGGCATCAAGTTATTTTGCATACCTTTTCGTCCTGTTATTTTGCGAGTGTATAGGTTGTTACGTGTCGTTTCTCTGTGCAGGTTATGTTAGCCTTACTAAATGCTCGGATGTCAACAAAATCCTTCAACAATTGGTCAAGACCAGTAGTTCGTCTACTTACTTCATTGATGCTGTCCAAATTTTCATTGATCGTTCCATTGGTATGACCTCCTTTAGTTCATCATTGGATTTTATCTCTGTTATGCTGTCTGTATTCTTGGCCTGTTGCAGAGCAATATTCAGGCAATTCAACTTCAGTTGCTGCAAGCGCCACCTTTTGTCATTAACTTCTCTGGTGACTTAAAACTTGGTATGTCCATTGACTCGTACTCTCTTTTAGAACAGTTATTCATCGAACATATGTCTTTCTTGGAAGCTCATATTGACCATCATCTGCCATTGTTGATTTGATGTACCAATTATGGTGTGTAATGTATGATATTTCCTGATATCGATATGATATTTGCTTTGCTCAGGAATTGGAGAGTTGGTCAACAAAACTAAAAACATGAGAAATATGGAAGATCTACAGGGAAAAGTCGCAGGTAGATGTGTTTGGATGGCTTCATCAATACATAGAGGTGAAGAAGAAGGTGATGTGCTGAAACTTTCGCATTTCTAGTTGGCCATTTTGGTTTTCTTCATGATGCTGATGATTTTTTCTACAGTGATGCTACATGTTCACAGAGGCTTAATGCAGAAGCACCCAAATATACTCGCTATCATTGTTCCTCGCCATCCACATCTTGGGCAGAAGATTGCTCTTGTATGAGTGCATTGCAACTTTCTCAAGAATAGAAATATATATATAGGCATAGGGTCAAGTTCAAGGGAAAACCGCAAAAAAGTGAAAAACTGAGGAACACCCTGGTAACCATTCATCTGGACAGTATGCACATGTGTCTATGATTGGCTTGCTTTCTCGGTATTGTGAGTTTAAACTCTTTAAGCCGGATAACTAATATATAGAGATAGATCAGTAAACACGGATTTTGTGATCCAGAAAATAAATACAATTATCCATGCTCCGTGGCTAGTCTGCGCTCTTACCGTCAGAGGTTGCCAGGATGTTCCTCAGTTTTTCATTTTCTTTATGGGTTTTCCCCTGAACCTCCCTCTCTCTCTCTCTCTATATATATATATACACACATATATATATAAATTCAAGCAATTTCAAATAGCTTAGATAAGTTCAACAATTTCAAGATATCAAAACATAACATAGAAATAAAGAGCAGATAATAGATCTGTTTTTAGCATCAGAAAATAAAATACACAGGTTATTTGGTTCTAAAGTTGAATAGATGGAGAAGATGTAAAGAAAAGGAGAGAGGAAATGCCATCTCCAGGCACTAACAATATGTTTTTCCTTTTTTCTAAAACATGCCCTAAAAATCTATTTATAGGGCCTCACATAATATGTGAATAGTTGGTTGATAATTCATGCAGGACTTGCAAAAAGAAGGGGTGAATGTGGCGCTTCGATCTCATGGTGACTCACTTACATCTGAAACAAGCATATACGTGGTGGACACGTTAGGTTGCAACTGCATGCTTTCACTTCCAGCTACTACCATATCTTGTTTCCTGAGTTATTTTTATTTAGGCATGCTACCATCAATTAAGTAATTTTCTAGAAGTTCCTTTTTAGCTCGACACCTCTTGCTCGCCTTAATATGCATGTTAGCTTTATCATGCTGGTATATTCTATATTTGTTCAGTTAAGTAATAGAACCCTAAGGGGGTGTTTGGTTCATGGGATTTGGTGGAATTGGAAGGAATTGGAATGTCCAAATCTCTGACCAAATTCCAAATCCCATGTTTGGTTCACATAATAGATGTGAAGGAATCCTTCCGATTCCAACCAATTCCATCCAATTCCTTAATTTATTGATTTCACAATTCCACCGCATATACCACGGATTTCAAATTCCAATCCGACAAATTCCTTAGCCCTCATCCATTCATCGACGTTGTATCTCGATTTGCTCTGTTCTGCTATGCTCGATCTCCTTTGCTCGATCTTGTTTAAAACTAAGAATGACAACGGGCCAGGTTTGGGCCGGTTATTGGTATCCCCGTCCTAGAAACCGATAACTAAAACTGTCCCCATGACCGCCCTGATCCCCGTCAGGAATCTTATCGGGTCCCACGGTTTCCCCGATCCCCGTTGGGGAATTCGTGAAGGTAAAAATCATCTTTTTCCCGTTCACCGTTGGTTGTAACCGAACCCGAAACCCAAAACAGATATAAAAATCCCCGTTAAAATCCCCGAATTTAATATATATTATATATATGTATATAAATTAAAGTTAATATATATACACATATCAAGCCGGGCGGGGCCGATGATCACCGTCCCCGCCCCCGTCCCCGTTAAAATCCCCGAATTTGTCCCCGATCCCCGCCGCGTCCCCGATAAGATGTCCCTGAACCCAGCCCGAAAGTTTCAGTTTTTTTTTCCTGTAATTTTCTCGTTGAATTCGGTGAACGAAACAAAAAAATTCCAATTCAGTTAAGAATTCCATTCCAATTCCATCCGACCAAACCCAATCAAAAGACATAGTCAAATTTCATCAAATTTCATTCCATTCCCTCAAAGTCAAATTCATTTGATGAATTCCAATTCCATTGAATTCCATTCTATGAACCAAACGCCCCCTAATATGCATCTTTCTATCGGTCTTCTTAATAATGTCTAGAAACCTTGCATTGCAGTTGGATACTCAAAAAGTAATATATTATTTAATTGATCATGTAGGTGAACTAAGGGAATTTTATGGATTGACCCCTATTGCTGTGATTGGAGGTTCTTTCTTGCCTGGCTTTACTGGCCACAATTTTTCTGAGGCTGCTGCTGCTGGCTGTGCTGTCTTGACTGGTAAGCCTGTGTCATGGAGACGAACAATCGTGTGAGAATAGGAGTTAAGATGAGGAGCATGAGAAGGGATCTGGACCCTTGTTCACTTTTAATCTCAACCCCATCCCATGAATTGTGCTTGATACGGGAATTGATCCGGTGCATCTCATTAGTGTTGATCTTCAATTAGGATTGATCCAAGGGTGGAGATCCCTTCTTACCCTTCTCACCATAACTTTCATTCTCACCGAAACCCAACTCATGTCATGGAATTTAAATTTGTTCTGTTTCTTGTTTTCGAACCTCTATACTTGAGCTTTTCTTGGTTTGCCGATGTTAGGTCAACATGTTGGTCACTTCTCACATATGGCCATGGCAATGCAGCAGTTGAATCCTTTATCAGTAACACAGGTTGGAAATGGGTTTAATTAGTTCAACTTATGATGCATATATTGTAACCATCACTTGCCTTTTAGAGTGATTAGCAAAATAATTTTTTTAGTATAACCTTGGTGTAACTGGAATTATCCAGCTCACATGTACACTTAGGGTCTGTTTGTTAGCAGCTTAATGGGACTCGCAGCTTATTTGTACGCTTATACATGACTGTTTGGTAGTGGCTTAATGATATAGAAAGTGACTCATTCAGTAAGCTTCTAGAGGGGAGCTTTATGCAAAAAGCTAAGTTTTTTTCTAATCCTGCCCTTCCCAATTAATAAACACGCACCTTCCTCCCATGAAAAACCCTCCCAAACAAGATTCTTCCAATCCATACAGACAGATTAATCCACACAGACAACTTTATCCATACAGGACTTAATGGAAAACCAACCAAACAATCCCTTAGATGTTATTAGCTTGATTAATGAAAATGAAAGGAAAAAGCTTGGGTTTCTGTTGGTGCTAATGAAAAGTGGGCTAGTAAATTTTTTATCAAGTTTCGAGTATTGTGACATAATGGATCCTACAGGTAGGTGGAGGCATGGAACTAGAAGAAATTCTAGACAAACTCGTGAGTAATCCGGAAATTCTGGAAGCACGGCGCGTGGCTGCAAAACAGGCATTTCATGCTCTGTCAAGTGGGGTTGTTGAAAATGCTTGGACCCTTTTGCAACTCCATATCTTCAGAAAAGCTCGGGCAGAAGGAGGTTGAACTGAGGTTGCACAATTGCATGCTACCGATCGCAATGACTTTGCTTGGAATGTTACAACATCCACATATATGTATGTCATCTGAAGTACTTGACCTGATTTTGAGCACTTGATATAACCAAAGATTTGTTGTTTTGCTCGATTAAACAAAGAAAAGTTGTTTTTACTTTGAATTAAATGACCATTTTTTGCTGTGTTTTGATCTTAACTGCAGGAAACCAACAAACACCCTCAGAAAAGAATTCATCACAAGGTATGAATCCAGGCCTTCATGAGCCAAGTTGGTATAAATCTCTGGTTATAAAGAGTTATACTTGATCTTGGCGGAATTGATCTGGCAGGTAAGAAGCTGAACATTCTTGAACATATTTGACTTAAAACATCTCTGGTGGGTAACACCAAATCTTGTACCAAATCCATAAAAATCGGTCTAAATTTTGGTATTTGGTGTCATTAAATGGTCTTTCGCTTGTAAATTTAAAAACACAGGGAAATGTTTCAAGTACCAAGAGATAGGGGGTCTCATTTAGCCTTCTACATTTAGGACCTTTGCCTATTTTACTCTATTTTTCATCAACCCTATAATGGCTCAGGGTCACATCAAACTAAATAATATGCCATCTCTAAAAAAATAAAAAGTCATTATATTTTAGGTGGACTAAATGCATCCCTATATATTGCTAATTGCATTACCACCTACTAATTTCTCAGGTATTGCTTTTTGCACCCTTTCTATGTCAGAATTCATGCTCTGAGAATGTAAAAAGCAAGTCTTGATGTTGATGTGTGAGATAAAAAATTATAGGTAAGGGTGCATTTAGCGCACCTTGTTTCTTCTTCATACACATCAATCTCAAGACTTGTTTTCTACATTTTCAAGGCATGATTTGATATAATTCTGACATAAAAGGTGGTGCACATAACATTGCTCAATGTTTTTCCTTCTTGGGTTTCAGGAAATTACAATTTTTTTTTTAATTTTGTCAAGAAGTGGTCACATTTCAACTACTTGATAAATTAAATGTTATATTTATTTTATACAAATAAATTATAAAATGAAAGAGTAAAAGAATAGGAGGAGGTGATTTATTTTAGATAAAAGGACGAAAATAAGGAATTAATTTGCTGCTTGATTGGAGTTGCATTAGATGTTTCTGGTAACACTCATTCCATTCATTTCTTGGTAAATGTAAAAGAAGAAATGTTCCATTTTCACCTTTTCTTTTAGGTTTTAAATTGTAAAAATCAATTATTATAAGTAAATAATAAAAGCATTTTTAGTTGTATTTCTATTTTTGTAATTTTATAGGCTTTTTGTGTTTACTTCATTTGTTAATATGTTTGCTTTATATCTATGCAGAATATGTCCAAACCCTATCAAACAAGCATTGCTTGAATTTCAATGCTAGTTGATAACAGCGGGTGTCCGAAACAATTTGTATTGTACGTTGACTAATCTTGTGAAGATAACAACGTTGAAAATTCCCAGTTGTCCTGGAGCCTCTTGAACTCGTAACGTATAGGGAGGAAGAACGCGGTGGACTTGAGGAGATTCAAACCGACAACTTATGGAAAAGAATCCCTGATGGACCTGAGGATATTCTTAGTGATCAACTTTCTAACGGTTTATAGAGATTTTAAGTATGGTTTTTGTCGGTGTTCTCTGTTTTTTCCATGGATATGTCATATGTGTACTAGATCACAATATTCTTTGTGTGCATGAGTGTCTTATTTGTTTGGAAGAATATGTTTCTTTAGACCACTAAATATTCGTCAAATGGCTGGGCTAGCTAAGGTTGTTTGGTTGGTTTTTCATTAAAAACTGTATGGATAAAGTTGTTTATGTGAATTAATTTATCCGTATAGATTGGACGAGATGGGTTTGGAAAAAAAAACTTAGATTTTTGCATAAAGTTTTTCATTAGAAGCTTATTGAATAAGTCATGTTCTATATTATTAGGTCATTACCAAATAGTCATGTATACATGACTGAATAAATTGTGAGTTCCATTAAACTCATTAAGCTACTAACAAATAGTCCCTAATATCAGTGGCGGATGTAGCATGTTAAGGGTGGAGGATGGGATTTTTTTCCTCCATTAATTTCCTGTTTGTGTGGTACCATGAAATCAACTAAAAAAGTCAAAAACTCTCTTGAAATCAATCAAAAAAAACTAAAAAAATCTCTTGAAATCAACAAAAAAAACTAAAAAAAAATCCCTCAAAATGATGCAATTATGCTAAAAACACATTGGATGACTTTACGGGCATTTAATTTATCATAAAGGTGTCCCACTAAGTAAAATCTTGGATCCGCCACCGCCTAATACAGGTAGAGTTCTGATAATTCTAAAAACCAGCTGTAGGCTCATAACTCGTTTCTTTTTACGTTTCTAAGCATTCAACATAAGTGATCATCACGGCTTTTTCGCCTTCGATAACATGTATTTCCTCCAATCAACAAAATTATTGTTTGAATTTGTGGGTTTTTTTTTAATGTTTTACCAAAAATAAAACATTTTAAAAGTAGCAAAAGAAGAAGATGAAGCATGCTTTTTTACTCGATTCCATGTGGAGTGATTTATAAACGCCAATCATACCTTCAACCACCTTTCCCCTTTTCCATCATCAATTACCATCTCCTCATCAATATCTTGTCTTCTTTATACAAAAATTTTAAAATAAATAAATAAACAAAAGCGTTCGTTCGTACCCACTCTAAAAGTTAGGTTGGTGGATGTTTCGGCTTTTAAGATTCGTTAAATTTTAACGATGCAATATATGTTATGAACTGCTACGATACGACTGTTGTTATTCTTGAGAAGCAGATTTTGAATCCAAAAATCTGTGTTTATCTGTTTTATGTAAATTCAGAATTTAAGGATAATTTGGAGATAGCAATTGTTGTCGGTATTGAAAACGATTTTTTATAATTATAATGTAAAAAACACGACACATGCATTTTAATGATTGTTTATAACTTCTAATCTATTAGTAATTAACGTTTGGTAGAAAGAAAAATCATGCAAGTAGTCATTTGTGTGCTGCCATCCACACTCCATTTCGGGTTTATTTATTTGGGGAAATTGGTTAAAATATCTGATAAATATATCTTCATTTATTTTTTAGTCATATTTTCAAGACAGTTTTTTATATAAAAATATTTCACGTATTTATGTAACCATATATTTTTTAATAAAAAGAAAAAAAAAGTACGTAAAGATTTACGCATTTGCATAAAGATGGATTATTTTGTGAATTATCTTGAAAATAAGGTTAAAAGTGAACGAAGATTGGTTATTTTAGTCAATTTAAAGTTATGCTATAAGCACCACATTATATGTCAGAATCAAATCAAATCTTTTATTAAAAATGTAAAAGATGAGTCTTGATGTTGATATGTGTGAGTAGGAAATTAGTAGATACAAATGCAGTTAATAATAATAATATATATATATATATATATATATAGGGATGTTATTCTACACATTTTGTCATTCCTACACCCTATACAACCCTCATCTTAACCATTCAATTTTTAATCAATTAATTGTTTCCTAATATAAAGTATTAATCACAATTAATAAACTCTATTTATATTCCATAAATATTCAAATCATAATAAATGAACTCCCATCATTTCTATAAATATCTCAATTAATTGGGTTGCAAAGGTTGTACAAATGCACAAGGTTGTAAAAGAAATATACCCTATATATATATATATATATATATATATATATATATATATAAATGTAATGGGCAAATTGCATGAAAAAGTAGGGTACTTTAACTTGATTCGTATTTTGGGTAACGTACTTTTAGAATTTTCATTTTGGTATCTAAGATGTAATGTTTTAAATTTTAAGTACCCGGGGAACCGGTTAATGTTTCAACTGTTTACCCGGATATGTAAGTGTTTAAAACTTTACATTTTAGATACTAAAATAAAAGTTTAGAAAATACGTTATTCAAAATATGAATTAAGTTAAAATACATTATTTTTTTATACAATTAACCAACAACCTCTTTATTTATAGATTTTTATTTAATTCATCTAGAATATCATATAATATTATAATTTAATAAATTCTTTAGTAATTATTAAATATTCAAAACACTTTTTAATTAAAATAAAATTTTTGAGTATAAAGTTTTCAAACATCAATTCGTTTGTCAATTCAATCAAGGTCGAATTAGAAATATTATATACAACCAAATTTTCATTGATCATATAGATTTAACCTTTAATTAGCATTTAAGATTATTAAGGCGTTATTTGGTAGTTGTTGAATGGTTTGATACAAAATAATTAAGTGGTCAGAATGATTAAAAGACTCTTATAATATAATATAAAATGAAATATAATTGTTTACAACAAATAAAATTAGGGTGTGGAATGGTTAAGGGAGACCCGAGATACAAAATTATTCAGAGAGTTTTAGAACCATTAAGAGACAAACTTTTATCGTCAAACAAGATTAATTGTTTAACGATTCAGATAATGTCTTTTAATGAAACTATTAAGAAGTTTAAAATGTAAACAAACAATCTCTAACTATAATTTTTGAGTATTAACCAGACATGAATTCAATACTTTAGTTCCATTTTAATTTTACATTATTTTTATTCTGGTGTAGTTATATGCACATCTATTTATATCAAAGTCGGATCAAATCATGTATTGTAAATGTAAAAAATAAGTATTGATATTAATTTACATATGCATTTAGTTTACCTCTTTTCGCTCTTATTCTCATTTACAGCTTTATTTTGATCCGATCTTGATTCAGTTTTTTTAGGTCATGTTTGAGAAATTAACTGATAAACTAATTGTTAGTTGGAAAAAAAAACAGGTTCTAACTAATAGTATAAATGTTAATCAATAAACTCTGAGCATCTCCAAAATAGTATCAAAACTCAAATTCTCCCAAAAAAAATTATATTCAATTCCAATAGATTTTCTATTTTGGAGATTACAACAAATATTATATTATTAAAATATTTATATAATTAGGGGTTGTTTACCAAACACTTATTCCATAAGCGTTTACCGGTAAAATTTAACACTATCATTTACTTATCAAATAAGATTTTAGTCCACCAAAACAGTATCTTATGCAACAATTTTCCCAGTAAACGCTTATCATGGTAAGAGTCGTCGCCCTTATTTACCGGGTAAGACTCTGTTGAAGATGTTCTTAATAAACTAACTGTTAGTTGAAAACAGACAGTATTGATTAATATTATATCAGTTATTTCTCTTTCAGTATTTTAAAAATATCACTACATCCACAAGTAGCAACTCTTCAACGTAATAAAAGAATCACAACTCTAAATTAAGTGTAAACTATTTGTATTATTTTTTCCTATAAAAAAATTGCAAGCTGAATTTTGCTTTTCACTTTAAAAAACACAAGCTCCTCTGTCACACTTGTTTCCCGCGTACCCTCTCTGAATCCCATGATGGAGATTTTCCGGTTTCTTCTTCTTCTTCTGCTCCTCCCACTTTCTCTCTCCACCGCTGCCGACGTCGACAGTGACACCGCCGCATTATCTCTTTTCCGATCACAAACCGACACCCATGGCATCCTCCTTTCCAACTGGACTCTCTCTTCCATCACTCACTCCACCGCCTGCTCTGTTGCCTGGACCGGCGTTCAATGCACCAACAACCGTGTCACCGCCGTATTCCTCCCTTCCCTCGACCTCCGTGGCCCTCTTGATTCTCTCTCTTCTCTCGACCAACTCCGCATTCTCGATCTCCGCCATAACCGCCTTAACGGCTCTCTTTTACCCCTCGCCAATTGCACCAACCTCAAACTCCTGTATCTCCCCGGCAACGATTTATCAGGTTCTATACCGACGGAATTATCGTCTCTCACTCGTCTTCTACGGGTAGACCTCTCCGATAACAATCTCAGAGGTCCGATTCCCGATGGAATCTCGAATTTAACTCGTCTTCTGACACTCCGCCTCGAGAACAATGAGATTTCCGGTGAAATCCCTCAGTCTCTCTCTTCGCTTTCGCAAATCAAACAATTAAATCTGTCGAACAATGAGTTGTACGGTCATTTGCCGGAAAATATTGCTCAAAAGTTTGGCGACGAGAGCTTTTCCGGCAACAAAGGACTTTGTGGATCAAGTCCGTTGCCTGCTTGTTCGGCAGCTACGCCTCCACCGACGGTAGAATCAAACCCTAGCTCGTTACCTACTACAACAATTATCGACGAGACGAAGAAACCAACACATAAAGGACTACATCCAGGAGTCATCGTAGCCATCGTGATCGCGAATTCAGTAATGTTACTAGTGATCGCTTCTTTTCTAATAGCGTATTACTGTGGAAAGAGATCTACGAGCTCAAACTCAAAATTGGGTTCTGAGATTGGCAAAAGCAGGAGCAGCTACGGCAGCGAAAGCAGAGTGTATGCCAACAACGGCGGTGGTGGAGGAGACAGTGATGGAAACAACAAACTGGTGTTTTTCGATAAGAAGAAGAAGTTCGAATTGGAGGATTTATTGCGAGCGTCGGCAGAAATGCTTGGGAAAGGAGGTTTGGGGACGGTATATAGGGCGGTGCTGGACGACGGTTGCACGGTGGTGGCGGTGAAACGGCTGAAGGATGCAAATCCTTGTGGTAGGAAGGAATTTGAGCAGTATATGGATGTGATTGGGAAGCTTAAACACCCAAATGTAGTGAAATTGAGAGCTTATTATTATGCCAAAGAAGAAAAGCTTCTTGTCTACGATTATCTCCCTAATGGAAGCCTGCATTTACTCCTCCATGGTAATTCACGATTCTGTTCTTGAATTCGATAATTAATCAACTCTTTTCATGTTAATCTTTCAAACCCTTAATAAGTTGGTACCAAATGTGTAGTATGAATACAAGGACTTGTGTTCAAATCCTTTTTTTCCCGTTTAAAGATTGGATTATGTTCGGATCTTTTGGGTAAATGATCTTTAAATAGCCCGATTTTGATTGTTGTTACAGGAAATAGGGGTCCGGGAAGAATTCCGTTAGACTGGACGACTAGAATCAGCCTGGTGCTAGGGGCGGCAAGAGGGCTAGCCCGGATCCACGAACAATACAAGGCTTCAAGAATTCCGCACGGAAACGTGAAATCATCGAACGTGTTACTCGACAAGAACGGAGTCGCTTGCATTTCTGATTTCGGGTTATCATTGCTTTTGAATCCGGCTCACGCCACTGCTAGATTAGGAGGGTACAAGGCACCCGAGCAATTCGAAACCAAAAGACTCTCTCAAAAAGCAGATGTTTACAGTTTCGGGATTTTGTTACTGGAAATGCTGACGGGTAGAGCTCCGTCGCAATACCCGTCACCTTCTCGTGTGGGTGTCGAGGAAGAGGAACAAGCGGTGGATTTACCTAAATGGGTTCGGTCGGTGGTGAGAGACGAATGGACAGCCGAAGTGTTTGATCAAGAGCTACTAAGGTACAAGAACATCGAAGAGGAGCTCGTTTCGATGCTCCACGTTGCAATGACCTGTGTGGCAGCACATCCCGATAAGCGGCCAACGATGGCGGAAGTAGTGAAGATGATCGAAGAGATGAGGGTGGAGCAGTCACCGTTAGGGGAGGATTACGACGAGTCGCGTAATTCGTTGTCGCCTTCGGTCGCGACAACGGAAGATTGAACGATAGTAGGATGGTTCTTCCATCTAGTTTATCAAGTGTTTGATTATGCCTTTTTTTCCCATTTTGTGGTTGGTTTGCGGCATTTGTTATGTATTTGTGATTATTAGTATTCGTAATGTAATTCTGAATTAATTGGAGGCTAATGTTTCGTGTATGCATAAAAGCATCTCCAACAGTTATGTTAAAATAGAGATTTTAAATATTTATAAAATATTTTACTCTAATAATAACTGTGTTATATTGTATGACAAAATAGAAAAATAAAAAATCTTTAAATTATAATAATCTTTAAAACTCCGTATTTAATAGAGAAATAAAATATTTAATTTCTTCTATTAATAAGAGATATTGGTGAAATAATATTTTATTAAAAAGTAATTGAATATTTTAATAATGCTGATATGGTAAAATAGAGTAGTTTTTGGGGGTTATATTTATTCTAATACTCTATTTTAGAAAAATTATAACAGATGTTTTAAACAATAAAGTTGTAAAAATATTATCTTTTTTGTCTCAAAATAAATGTCCATAGTAAAAAAGGCATATGGTTTTAAAAAAATTTAATTATTACACTTTTCAATGCAGAAACTGAGGCCCGACATGCATATAATATTGCTAAAACAAAAAGAAATTCACTTTTAATTATAAAGAGAAATTTGTTGCATCTCATAATTAAGGGTGAAATGGAAAGTAGACATTTAATTTTGAAAATATATACCGTTTTAAAGACAAACTAAAATAGTAACATAGACGACATGGAAGCTCCAATTGGCAAGAAAAAAGAACAGTAAAATGTTGGAAATGAGAGACAAACGACGTATATATTATGTTTCTGTTCAAAACGACGAATATGAAATGTATTTAACAAATTTTAGAAACTTCAGTAAGTTATTTAACAGATTTTGGAATATCCAATGATTTATTTGTTTAAAAAAACTATTCAAAAACTTAATTATTCAAAATACTAAAATTCATTGAATATTTTTAGACTTTTTCCAATTAAATATATAGAAAATTGGGATTTAAAATGGAAATGTATGATGGTGTTATTAAAGTGGGAGTTTGGAGGATGGCAATCTCATGCTTGATATGATGGTGTCCCCGGGACCAATTAAAGCCCCTTCCAATTTTATGCTTTTTTCATGCTTTTACATCTTTGACTTCATTTTCACTCAAACCAACAAAAAAAAGTTTATGTTCTACTTTTTCTTTTTAAAAATTATAAATTAATAAGTTTACTTATTATTTGTTAAAACCACGTATAATTGTTTATATCATCCTTTTATATATTTATATATATATATATATATTTATATATATATATATATAATTTTAATATAAATTAATATGTTTCGATAACACCCTTTAAAATACAAGATAACAAAACTTGTGGATCGACTGTTGATATTGTTAATCTTAAGTACAAATTACTAATTACAAAATGTAATATTTGTATTTGCTAGAGAAATAAATATTAGGAGTAAATTACGTTTTTGTCCCTTTGTAAATCATTGTTATTTTCGTCATTTCTGCAACATTCAACAAACCACAAGGATAAAAAAAACGCAATCTACTCCAAATGTTAATATGTTTATAAATAATCCATAACAAGCGATATATCAAAATAATCTGTAATGGGTTTCTATTTTAAGCGTTTTTGACATAATTTAAAAACCTCTCTTGATTTACTTTTACTTATAATTAATAACTATAAGATATTGGTGACGTTGATTTTGATCAATAAATTTATTTTTTTGTTTTTATTAAAAAATATTTTAGATATTTGTCAACTTTATAATTAAATATGTATATGATACTTAGGTGACTAACTTGTTTTTGTAAGATCCATGAGACCATATTTTTACACTTAAAGATTATTTTCACAATATTATACTGTAAAGTTTCAAGTTTAAAAAAATTATCTCATAAATTTCATAAAAACAGACTGGTCTTACATGATCTCAAGTTAATTATTATATTTTTTTGAATTTTATTATTTAGAGTCATTGATTACTTAGACTTTGTACTAATTATTACTGAAATACCTAATTTGTCAATTTTTACTGTATCAATATTTTAATGGCAAGAAGAGAAAAGAAAACCTGAACACATGATACATGAGGTGTACTCAACCATAAGGAAGAAAGGTGGTTGGTGTTCTATACAAGTACTGCCAAAAAGTTTGAATACATATATAACCATTAGATTAATGAGTTTACAAGTTCACGAGCTTAATAAGACTCATAGCTTATTTGGTCAACTATAAATGATTGTTTGGTAATAGTTTAATGATATAGAAAGTGAAGCTTTATACATAAAAGCCAATCTTTTTCCAAATATGCTTCTCGTAATTAAAAGACACGCTCGTTTCATCTATGAAAGAACTCTTCCAACCAAAAACTTTTGCAATCTATACAGACAGATTTATCCATACAGGACTTAAGAAAAACCAACCGAACAACTCCCATTTTTTATTACAATTTTAGTCATGTTCTTAACTGAAAACTCAGTTAAGGTCAATTGTCTAAAATACCCCTAGCATTGCAAAACAATGCACCAGCATAGATAACCAAACTAAACCAAACCAACACCCAGTACACCCTACTCATAGATAACCAGAATGTATATAGACCTTACTTCAGCCTGCAGAGTTTGTTTACAATGCATCATACATAAAGTTCAGTTATCGATCAGAGACGTAAAAAAGTAGAAAATATGGGTGATTTCATCACCCTCGACGCGACCATATTTATCTTTACTTTGTATTTAGTTCCACATACAAGCCAACACTTAAACTACACACATTACCACACTCATTCTACCGCACACATCTATAATTTACACACCAGGCTGCTAACATCAGACCGCCCGACACACACATGCACGGTTAAACCCATTTTAACGACTATTGATATTAACTAGATAACCATACACAATGCTCTCCCCACCCACCCCTTCTGCTTTCATACGATGTTGCTTTTGTTTAGCAGAAAGCAAGCCATCTATAACAACTAAACCAAATGTAGGAGGGTACCTGATATGAATATTAACGGAATCGAATGAATTGGATAGAATGGAATAGTAGATCCATCAGGGGATTTAGCCAACCCTTCCCGTGTGATCAATTAGGGTCCCAACATGTTCCCCGGATAGCGCTCTTGATATATTTCCAGGCTCATGAAGATTGAATATCACAACTGCAACAAAAGGAAAAAAAATGCAGGTTCATATTTCAGTTTCCATCCCCGTGATGCAGACAATAAATTGAGATGGGACCCACATAACCGGAAAAAACCAAACCAAACCAAACAAACCCAATATATCCCACCTGGAAAACATTTTTTATATCGTAGGGTTTACTTTCCTACTATCTAAAACAAAACAAAGGTAAATAAATCACAAAATAAAATGGGCCAAAAAGTATAATTTTTTAGAAAATGAAGACAAATATATCGAGTATGAAATTAGGCAGACATAAAACCATAAGAAGCACATAAATCTTATAAGCACAAGTATCACATGTGTCCAATTTGCTTCATATGAAACTCCTCAAACCAATATGAAGGCTTAGGGGTTGGGTTGGTTGGTGTTCCAGTAAGTCCTGTATGGATAAAGATATTTGTGTGGGTTAATTTGTGTGTATAGATTGGGAAGATTTTTGTTTGGAAGGGTTTCTTATGGATGAAAGGAGCGTGTTTTTTAATCGGGAGGGGCAGATTTGAAATTTTTTTGGCTTTCTGCATAAACCCTCCTAAAAGCTTATTAAATAAGCCACTTACTATATCATTAAGCCACTCCCAAACAGTCATGTACTGACTGAATAAGCTTTGAGTCTCATTAAGCTCATTAAGCTGCTAGGAGTGCATCAAAAGAGCCTCAGTAGCAGGCTAAAGAGAAATACGGACCACTTGCTCACAAGGCGAAATGGCAATCTGTCTTCATGTGATTAGTATGTTTATGAAAATCAAGTTCTTTGTAGCGTACACACAAACCTGATTCTCGTGAAGCATCTCCATCAAACAACATTAAGAATCTCGTCAATAATGAAGTGGCCAATGACTCGATTGTGATCTGAGAGATCGCAATACACAAAGAAGACATCTTTGGTAGAACAAAATGTCTCCCCACAATCCTCCTCATAATTTCGAGAGTTTACCAACTTTCCCTTCAAACAAGCCAAAGAACCATTTGGATTCGGCCCCACTATGTACACAACTTGTGCAACAAAATCCTTCCTAGGAGGAAGCTTGGCATGGCCTAAAGTCCCTTATTTCTTAAAGGTGAAAATTTCACCTTACATAGTTTCTCCAGCCTGGATAAGTTAACTGCCCACTTCAGATATAGAGACAAATTGTAAGGAAAGCCTACTTGATAATATGAGGACACCAGGAGTAATTGGTGTAAGGGTAAGTTTGTCAGAGCAAGGTTTATAAGAGAATATCTGGTACGGAAATCGATGGTTGCAGAAACTAAAGTTGATCCATTCCTCCTAGTAATACCTCAATAGAAACCAAAGTGGAGGCACCATGGAATACAGGAAACAACACGGGTATAAGACTTCAATCAAGATATTAGGTTACTCGATGACTAGGAAACAAGACCATAAATCGATACACGGTCTGAACAAACAGTGTAAAGTGTAATAGGACTAGAGGAATGTAACATCTGAAGAAACAAATAACACAATTGATACGTACTATGATTTATGATACTTATACCTCTTTTATCCTCAATTATATGAGACACCCAAAGGTCAAGTTTTATGGGCCCTGGACAAAAATCATGAGCATGGCACACACACCCAAAAACCTTAGCATTAACATGAAACAGAGGAAAGAAAATAAAAAGTAGTAGTAAAATTTACCCTTTGGCCATATTAAATGAAATAAACTTGTAAAGTACAAATTAGTTATACTACTGCAACATTGTGTTAATCTGTTCAAGAATAACTGTTGATGGAAGCAAAATCACTGGTTGAATAGAAACCCATAGAGAAAGCAAGGGTAAACAAAAACCAACCAGGAATCCCGTTCTCTTCGCAAAATGTTGCAGCCATCATGTCCATTGGTGATGCACTTCTAGAAGCCAACTCCCTGAAAGAAATGTGCTCAAATGTGACACTGCTGATGGAGTCACATTCAAATAGACCATCTGCATTAGTACCTTTGACAAATGCATCGGCATGAACTGCATGAGAACAACAAACCATCAGTTCACCTCCAAGGAAACTATTAAAGCATCTTTAGCATGATAAATAATTAATATCATAGAACTTGACCATACTCTCTGATGCTCTAAGAGCAGCGGCTGTGTCGGTAGAGAAGAGTGGATTTCCTGTGCCAGCACCAATGCCACCAAATATTACCACCCTCCCTTTTTCTAGATGTCGGATTGCTCGGTGTTTACTGTATGGTTCAAAGACCTCTGGCATAGAAAAAGCAGATTGCAGACGTGCCTGAACACCCAACTTCTCCAGCGCTGACTGGATTAATATGGAATTCATCACAGTTGCCATCATACTGGTAACATATGCAAAGCCATGGTTCATCATGAACATGTACAACTGGAGAAATATCAATACTAAATTGTTCCGACAAATCATACTGAATCAAACTTTGGGTAGAGGTTGAAACATACTGTGAAGGCACTCATTGAAAAATACCAGTATTCGGCACATAATGAAAGACACTTTTAGATGTGCATATCCTCCGGGAGGGCGATTGGGACACGGGCACAAGGGACTATATGACAATTAATAATTAAATTGGCGTATGAAGGATAGCATCCTAGGCAGCCCTCAATGAGAAAGAAAAAGACCCAAAAGGTAACCATGAGTATCCTACAAACCCTGCTGTCCATAGGCACACCAACTAATATGAAATGTTCAGTGTTATAAAATTCTGCTTAGGAGCTATGTGTTCCATTTTTCACTTCTATTAGTATGGGCCACTTAATCACCCACCTAGAGATGAGCGCCCCCACCACTTCAGTTTATAAAAAATAATGAGTTAATCATTCCAATCACGATGATGGGGATTAATGGTCAATGACCTTTTCTCAACATGTTTCACTTTCTCGATTATTGTACCAATGTAACAATAAAACTAATCTTATAGAAAGAAACCATATCAATGTGATATCAATGTGATACAATACCAATATTTAACTTTTCATATGCTTACATAATCCAAATCATTATAGTTTTATATATTTAAATGCATCTGCCTAATCCCTGATTAAGTAATTACATACTAGAAGCTTATTCAACCACCTAGCTCCACTTAATGACTTTTTTAAGACTGGAATGACGGCTGAAAGCACATACCCAAGCATTTAGTATATTTATTAATAAACAGGGAAAGGTCAGGCTGACTTTCATACATAATTATAACCAAGTCTTCTTTCATTTTCTTTCCTGGAACACTAATCCAACCAAACCAATCAAAGACAAACTTCTGAGCATGCAAAAAGTGTGTATGTGTGTAAAGAAGTGAAAACCAAACCAATATGACTTAAGTTGTCTCACCTTTTACTTTTTCACAACCATAGAACTTCAGTTACTTTTTATTATAGCTTTTTTTTTCTAATTTGCAGAATACTCTTTTCATTTCCTTCTTGAAAAAAGAAAAACTGCAATTCTCCTTCGTGCATTGTGATTCTTGTATCCATGTGAAATCTTGGTCAATAATTCAGGAATACGGTTAACACCGCATGGGATGTGAACCCCACCACATCCCCTATTAACTAAACCCTCAAAGCACCAGATACTGGAATTCAGCAAGAAGTCCAGGCTTGAACCTTGCTTTTAGATGAAAGCTCAGTGACTAAGTCTATTTTGCAAAAGTGCATTGTTTACTTCAGTCTTCAGATTTTCTGATTCAGCATAGGCCAACAAGAATGCTGATGCTAGAAATACTGCAAAATCCTCAAACGCTTTGTAGCCTTGCATTAGATCTCCAACTGCTTTAAATTTGTAATTTTGAAGCCATGATGTTTGCCTACGAAATCTTGGTGACCTTTCCCAGGCTATTGTTATTTTTATTTTTATTTACTCAAATTCTTACAAACTGAAGGGAGCAAGATATGAGATAGAGATATTTTTATCGAACAGATATAATTAGCACGTCGGGAAATAATAACATTACCCAATCTGATAAGCAGTACTTCTGTCCATACCAGTAGCTGTAACCCATGTGTCTCCACAAAAGAAATTGCGCCCACCAACCACTATTGCCACCTGAAAGAGAGGCTTGCATGAGATCAAATTCAGAATATTTAAATGTTATAGAAGTGACATCTGATTTTAAAAAATGGAACACCTCAACACCAACATTGCAAGCCATTGATACTTCTCTAGCGATCAGCATGGCCACCTACAGAATAAAAGAAATCAAGTCTAAACTTCAGATGATGTATCATGACGAGATCAAAGAAAAACTTTAAAATGTCACCCAGAAAGGATTTCTAGCGTAACTAAACCATCCATACCAGTTATATGGAATTATACGTACCTTCGGATCAACACTGTGAGAACTGGTTCCAGCCAGAGAAGCACCACTAATTTTAAAAACAACTCTCCTCCATCTAGCATTTGTTATTGGTTTTGACTTTATAGCAGTGATCTGACAGCTTGGGCTAGATGTTGCTGTTGCATATCTGCATAAAGATTGATTGGATGCTTGTTCAGATAAATATCATCAACCAACTAAATGATCACAATTCTACAATAGTCAACTCTGAAGCCCATGGAGCAGCAATCTCAATAGTATTTGGCATTCAACTGTTCATGACTTGAATTGGTTTAAGCTAGTGCCATTACAGACAAATGATTTCAACTTTCAAGTACAACTACATTACTCAAAATCTCAACAAAGTATCACACAACAGCTGAGAGGCATGATTTTAAATATTAAAAACATCACATAAGTATAAAGAACTTCCAGATGGTTCCTACATCAAATGTCATTTGCAATTCCAGCTAGCTGAGACACAGGAAATCTTCTGCACTCCAAATCTTTACCCATAATTCATAATTAGACTTGTCTAAATTGATGGAGTTTTCTCAAAGTTCTTTTATCTTAGAAACTAAGACTTATCATATACACTCCATTTACAAGTCACTGCAAAATGTTAGTAGGAGATGGACCAGATTCCTTTAAATCTGTCTTGCAAGTCGAAAGAAGGGTCTTCATTTTTCCCTTCTCCCTCCATCATGGATCAAGATATATGTTTTCAAGATGAGGCTTCCGAAGAGAGACCAAGTCAAACAATGCAATTTTCATCATAAAGTTAATAATGAAAACTTAAAGTATTCAAAACTAGATTCTGGAATTCATGGTTTAGAAATGAAGTTCGTGAACTAAAAATCCTTAGATAACTAAAGTAAGATTCACAACCAAAAAATAGTATCTTTCCAAGATAGAGCAATTGACTTGCTTTTTGTTGCTAACCAACTATCATTCTTACCAAAAATGTTTTAAAAAACAGTATGCGTTGCAAAGATGAGCGATTTCGGATTTAAAATTTCCATATTTGATGGTTTCTTTGCGTTTACATTTCCGCAGCTTACCCAAAACCATCGATCTGTAGTGTTTCTCTGTTCTCCGATTTCTGCAAGAATGGTATTTAGTTTGCAACATACCTTGCAAATTTGGGTGATTTTGGATGATAAATGTCACTCAAGTGGTTTCTTTTGTATCTGTATTTCCATAACTTATCCAAATCAGCTGATTCTTGTTTTTTATTCACGAGAAAAAAGTATTTAGTTTAGAACAAAAAAATGTAAGTTCAATGATTATAAAGTCAATAACGAGATAAAAAGAATGCAATTCACCAAGTCAATATCATATATTTGTCTCTTCATACAAGCTTAAACATGTTCAGTTCAGTAGTTCAGCAAGTAATCTTCGTCTTAAGATAATTTCACAATCTTGAACACAATGCCATTGCTCAAAATTTTGGAAGAACAATTAACTGAAGCAAGAAGGATGCATATACCTCTTAGACTGTCTAACAGGACTACTCATTCCCCCTGCCGAATTCTCTTCGCCCAACACAGCCTTCAATGGCAATGAGTTCCCGACGATCTGCTCCATCTTTTTAAACCAAGGCCAATGACTAATGGCATTTCCCCCATTTGTATTCATCATCCGGTGCCTCTCCAACTTATACCTCTTCTTTAAATTATCCACCTTGTTTTTACACTGCTCCACGCTCTTCGTCTGCTTCTCGCACCTTTCGCTGACGATTGCCGCCACCTCTTCCCAGTCCCTCCCTCTCAAATTCCCACGATTCAACTGCATAAACTTATCTAAATACGCATCTAACAGACACGCAATGGCAGTGTCACTCCACTCTTCTCTATCCTTCCTATACTCTCCGCCTGAAGACGAAGCCGCGAGCTTTACTTTCTTACTATAATTATACGGTGTTCCTCCATCGCTAAGCTCTTCCCGATCGCTCCATTTCTCGCTTCGTGCACCGTTAATCCTAGATCTGTTCGGATCCGACTCATCATCGTACGGAACGACAACCATGGGCTGTGAACAGAACCCCCCGTCGCTATAACCTTCTCCATTGGCTTCCTGTGTTGGCCGCGGAGGTGGTGGTGTATTAATCTGAGTCGCCTGCGAGGCTAGTAAGTGAGCAGTTGCAGCGAGTTGGTGGTGGAAATCAGGATTTGTTTGGTGGCTGGAAGTGGTGGTGGTGGTGGTGTCTCCGATCAGCGGGAAGTCGTCATCGGAAGATGCCATCGGAGGGACATTAGGGTTAGGGTTAGGGTTGGCAGTGAAAGTCGGAGACGACGTTAAGTTTGAGGGAGAGGATCGTTTGAAGAACCGTTAACTATACCGGAATTGAAACGTAACTTTGTGAGGGCAGAAACGTCACGCCGTATGACGGGTCCGTTAGTATAAACAGGCTTTTAATGTGTGGACCCCACGATATATTACCATCGTCCCCCCTATAATAATTCCTATTTCTTCTTTTTCGAAATAAAAAAAAATTTAATTTCATAAAAAAAAAAAACTTATTTATAAGGAAATTTTCAGGGATTAGGGAAATCCTACGGGCACACTTGGAGGACCCAGTACAACGGAGAGTTGTATGCTGCGTTCGGGAATTGGTTAATCATCCAATAACAAGTAAGAATGGGAAATTTTATTCTATAAACGAAAAAGAACAAAGAATTTAATATCAACAGAATCTTCGTAGTAAACTACTTGGTAGCGTCTTTTTTCTAAAATAAGAATCCTTTATGATAGAAAATAGATATATTACCACTTGGTTTTTTATTGAAGTTTTCTATTAAGGTAACTGTGAGCATTCGAGTTAACTTAGCTCTCCTGATTAACCATCGGACGACTATAAAGAGCCTTGAGTATGAACCTTCATTGCCGCAAGGGGTTTCAACAATATATGGATTCAAACTCGGGAAATATAAGTATTCTCTACATCCCCTTGAGGTTTGACCAATATGCCTCAACCCAACTGGTTAAGAAGTTGGTTTTTGATATGTTTGAAATCAAACGAGTGGAAAATTTGGAAGGTAATGGTTTGCTTGGTGGTGGAGCCCATAAATGGAGGACAAGGGGGTTAGGATGTAGTCATACTGGTTTTATTCTGATCATTAGCATCAAAAAAGAAATCAGATATAAACCGAAGAAAAATAAAGAACAAATAAGGAAGAAGGATGAGAAAGGAATCACTGTAGCATTTTGGTCAAGGAGTTGATGAATCCAAGGTAATAACTCAATTACGTTATGTATTGGTTTCATTATGCGTCATTAAATGAATTATTAATGTTACATGCGAAATGGGTAAGAATTTGATGGTTTGAAAGCAAATAAGAGCACTGATAATGGTGTTTCATGCTCATGTTGTGTATAATGATATTTAAGGTGTTAATAGGATTATAAAGCATGGAGATGTTGTGTATAATCAACCCGTTATGCGACCCGACTAATTCCAAGACGACCACCTGCTCTAGGGGTAGCCTGGAGTCACCGCATTTGAACCTTCGTGGCCACAAAGAGATTTTTATTCCTCGTTAGATTTAAAACCTGGGACCTCCAGACACTTTTGACTTTTGGAGCAAAGCTCAAACCAATCAGGTACCACTCATGTGGTTCACAATGATAAATGTGGTATTATAAAGAAAATGGTGTGATATTTCCATGATAGAAACGAGGGTGTTACACTTTCTCAAAATACGTAAAATGTTTATCTTGTATAATACAGTTGTTATTGTTAATAAAGTATTACTTCTATTTATATCTACACACAAAGGATAACCACTAATCTGCTAACAATTAACAATGTAAATGTAACTAATATTGATCAAATTAAGCATAATAACTCAAGTTTTTCTTTTATAACGTGTTTTATGAAACACCGGTCGTAGATTTGAAGTCGTTTTCATAATGCATCAAATCCCCCTGTTATATATTTCGATTGAAGCATACCTATCAATTGACTACTGCAATTCAAATTGACGATAAATTAAAATTTAAAAAGAAATGTTAAAAAATGTTGTCTACTGAATTATTGTGTTTGTATGCAAATCCGTCCACTTTTATCATATTCATACAAATGATGAATGTATGCTTTCAACAAAGTTTAACGTCGACATTGTCCAAAATAACGAAGTTGGTGATTTGATTTGCGAAAAGTGAGTGAATCCGATCATCTTTATGGTAGTGCCAAAAACCTACGTTATTGGATTTTCCTTTTAAGATACCAAAATCATAAATAATTTGATATTGAATTTTATACAAACAATGAAACGTAAAACCCGATAACAAAGTTTCTTAGTCACAAATACAAAAACAACTAAAGTTTGTAGGGTTTTCAAAAAAGGGTAAGAGAGACAGGGGACAATTATGGTACATCCATATTATACTCGCGGTCGACCTATCTGCATTAAGATATAAATCACTTCTCTTCAAGTACTTAGGGTCTGTTTGTTTGGTTTTTCATTAAGTATTGTATGAATAAAGATATCTGTTTAATTTGGGAAGATATTTGGTTGAGAGATTTTTTCATAAATGGAAGGAGTATTTTTTTTTTAACTGGGATGAACATGTTTGGAAAAAAAAAACTTCAATTTCTACATAAAGTTCCCCTATAAGCTTATTGAATAAACTACTATGTATATCAATAAGTTATTATTAAATATTCATATATAGTTGATCGAATAAGTTGTGAGTCTCATTAAGCTCATTAAGATGTTAACAAATAGATCCTTATAACATCTTTAAAAGATTATCTAAAATAGTGATAATGGAGATTTTGTTCTCTATTTGCCTCCAACAAATTCTCAGGGGATGTTTGGGATTGCTTATTTAAACTGTTTGTTGACTTATTCCGGTATGGTACCGGTAATAATCAATTTTTAGTATTTTGATGGAAAATAAATAATGTTTATACCAATGTCAAGCCGGTAATATAAGCCATTTGTTTTTATTCTGAAACCATTGTGTAACCGGATTTAGGGTTATAAACTATTAACTTATATCTAAACTAGCTAAAACGAAAATAACAATCATACCTAATGACAACTTTCATAAACGAATACAAAACATAACGTAAATGTTAGAAACCAACAATTGACGATCCATTAAATGAAGTAATAATCAACAACGTTTTTAATTTGATGAAACTACAAAAACGAAGATCATCGATGGGGAACGTAAAAATTACCTAGAAAGAATAACAGATTACTCATTCTGGTTGGGGTATAAGCTTCGAGAGACACAAAATGAGAACGCAAAACCGACTTATTGGACTTCGATTCCAAATTTGAATCCTTTAATTTTAAGTAAGCAAAGACTCTCGATAGGGATGTATAGGTAAAGTTTTTCTGTCGACCTGAAGAGAAAACATGGGATAACAAATAAGAACAAAGTTAACATTCTGGAAAACGGAAAAAGTTAAATTAGTGAAAATAACTTTCATCAGAAAACGGGACAATGCTATATTAATGAAACAGTACCATATATTTTTCCTGTTTTCTCCTGTTTCACTTAATCACAGGCTTGTAAGTGGGATACCTATTACCGAGATATGTAAAATAGAACCAACAAATGTTGTGAATCCCTTTGGTAGGCCAGACCGCCAGAGAGTAGATAGAGATGGAAAAAAGAGAAGTTTAACCATAATGGTGGTGCTTGATTGGTTTGAACTTGTCTCCAAAGGTATGTTGTGCATTCACGATTCTTCTAATCATGAGAAGGCGGATCTAGAGATGGAGAAGAATAAGAAAAAGCGTAACAGTAGAAGACGAAGGGTTTTTTGCTTTGCAGGTAAACGTAAAACCTATAAAAAAGGGAAAAAAGAGAAAATTTCAGAAAAAGGAAGGCATTGATACTGTTATGAACATATGTCAGGTTAGAGCTGTATGTTTCTGCTTTATATAGATATGTAAATATAGATCATGTTGACATTAAATTTTAAGTATATAACAAAATAAAATGACCATCGTTATAAAGTAAATAAAATATTGTTAACAAACCAAAAATAAAGTTAATTTGTCGGTTAAACTAAAAATATGCTAATACGTGGGATTTAAAAATGTCAAAAACGTATTTCAGTAATTCGTTAAACCAGACGTCGTTGACTTTTTTCTCTCCATATCTTATGGCAATTACGTATGTAAATCTACTCTAATAAGTTGGAACAAGTAGATTTGGAAATCGAAAAATGTTGTATTTCGGATCACAATCGGATTGTGATAAAAGTAATACCTGGTTGTGGACGCTGCAATAAAATGGGGTTTATAGAAAGGAAAAAATAAGTGTCCAAATTAACTGTTTTATATGATTTGAATTTATAGGATTAATTGATACACAAATTCAAACATGAAACTTTAATAAATTGTACTTACATACAATTTACCTGTAATCTTGAATTTTAAGTAAACTATATCAATAAACAGTATTTCATGCATAACAAATTATTTTTAAAAGTTTTGATCAAGTGCTTTATAATATAGTATAGATAGATTAGATTTTAAACCAATCACAATAGGAAGTTGCCACCTAGGGCTGTAAATGAACCGAACGAACACGAACCGAAGCTTGTTCATATTCGTTCGTTTAATTTAATCGAACAAACGAACGAAGACGAACAGTAAACGAATGAAAATATTTGTGTTCGTTCATTTAGAAATCAGTTGTGTTCATGTTCGTTTTATGTTCGTTCGTTAACATGCTAAACGAACGTAAATGAAGGGGCTAAACGAACAGGTCTAAACGAACATAAACGGACATGCCTAAACGAACATAAAAGGTTCCATCTGGAGGCTAGGCTTTTGGAGAAAAAGTGAAAAGATAAAAATTTTAAATAAGACAAAATAATAATGAAATTTAAATCTAAATAAATTATAAAAAATTAAAACTTAAATAAATATTATTTGAATTCAAGCTAAATAAATAAAAAATTATATATTAAATTTAATATATGAACGAACATAAGCGAACGAATATAAACAAATGTAAATGAACGAATTAGACTCATGTTCATGTTCGTCTAACTAAACGAACAAACAAATTTGTTTATGTTCATTCATTTATTAAATGAAGGAACATAAACGAACTTCCCGCTGAATGTTTCGCTGACCGTTCAGTTCGTTTACAACTCTATTGCCACCTCTTTCCTCTAATCACAACTTTTCTTTTGAAATATTAAAATTATGAATCGTCTATTCCGTCCACAATCACATGTCACAATCACGATTTTAATGCTATGATTGATTATTGATCGGGTGATGGCAATGCCAAAGCTTGATCGGGCCTCAATCGTTCTTTTTCAAAAAAAAAAAAAGTAAAAGTAAAGATATTTCAGATTATTTCTTTCATATGATTTTTTTATCAAATCATACATAAATCAGCTTTTTCCTAACCAATACTTATATTGATAATTTATAATATATTATTAAAACACATCAAAAGAATATTTAGTACGACATATTTGAAAAGTATGGACTTCGTTACAACTTCTAGAACCTTCTTTCACAGAAAATTCAAAGTGTTTATTTTTCAAAACGTTAAAATTGACTTTTGTATTTTCATTAATTATTTTAATCGTCGAGTCTTGAAATAAATTTTTTATCATAAAATTAAAAAATCATTTTTCAGATATAATATGAATTAATGACAATTAGACCTAAGTCCTAAAATCAGATAAGGATTTAATTATTTGGATTGTGACATACTGGTTAATATTTAGGAGATGTAGTTGGAATTTTATTTTTTAGGGTTTAAATCCAGACGTTGTCAAATCTCTTGTAGCTATGAAGATTCATTTGTGATGAACTTCAGATTATTCGTGGTCGCCTAGGGATTAATTGTTGTACGTATACTGATATGAAAATATACAGTTACCCAATAAAATATTGATATAAAATAAAAGAAAATATAAAACTAATTGAAAGAAAAGACTTCATAACAATACAAAACTAGTTGTATACCCGTGCAATGCGGCGAGATGCGAAATTTTGAAAAGAGGTAAACGGACATATCGATTACGGATAAAAATTTGTATTTGAAATTGTCAGACCTACATTATTGATTGTTTCATATTCAATTGATTTGAGAAAAACTGAAACAACCCAATAATCTATTTGATGTTGAAATTTAACAACTGATTAATAATCTATACTATATTATAAAGCATTTGACTAAAACTCTTAAAAACTCTTAAACTCTTAAAAACTCTTAAACCCGTTCATCCCTACCCAATTTCATCTCATATCTGAATTCGTGTAACTAACTGCAGATAAACGCAATCAAATACATGATAAACATCTCATTTTAAATATAAAAAATCTAAAATATAATTAGGATAATCATTGAGTTCTAACAGAATACTTAATTATTA